CAATACATCTTTCTTCTTCAGGAATACATTCCTATGATCATACATCAAGACAAGTTTCCTTATAGAGGTTTCTCTGTCAGACAAAGGAATGAGACACTCACAAGGACCTCCCTGAGCTGGGCAGTAAACTCCACCTGTTATTTGAGATAAAGAACATAAAATACTTTGCCACCTGCTAAGAAGCTCCAAGAAGAGAAGAGGAGAGACCTACATAAAGGGCTCAGGTCATGGATTTAGCTATAAGTGCAGTAGAGGAAGTGGCAAATGGGGGCATTGCCTGTCCCAGAGAAAAATTCTACCTCCTTGTAACATTTTTTTCAGTCCTCTAGCTCCCAGCACTGATGGTTGTTGGCGTGTGCTTTTGAGTAATTTCCCATTTATGGCAATCTTGTTATGGGATTTTCTTGACAAGATTTATTCAGAAGAGTTTTGGCTATTGCCTTCCTCTGAGGCCAAGAGTGTAATTTGCCCAACACTGCCCAGTTGGCTTCCATAGTCAGGAGGGGACTCTGCTCTCCAGGGTGCTAGACCAACACCCAAACCACTGTGCCACAATGGCTCTGCAGTAACCTAAAACTACCGCACATTTAGAAATAGAATTTAGGCATCCAGGGGCAAGGGGTAGGAAAATTCCTAGATGAAATTTCTAGATGTGAATAATTTTCAAAGTTACATTCTCTGCAGTGCTAGAAATTTAGAGACTGTAGGAAAAATTCATAGAGGCAAAGTTTTTATTTGAGGAGGCAATTTCCTCATTCAAGCCCAGCCGGCACTTGCTATACTCCTAGCAAGTCCTGGAATCCAGCACGGTTGCTTCCCTTTCATTTTCCTGGCCCTTTATATTACCTCTTTGTTTTATCAGTGCAGACACTGTAGCGGGCTTCACAAAGAAAATGCCTCGTATGCTTGAAACTGTTCTTAAGTCCACAGTCTAATCTGCAGACAGTTAATAAATAGGGTTGCCCCACACTGAACTAATAACCAAACAAATTGCAAAGTGGCAAACAATTATCCACAGGATAACTGTGGATGATTTTTTTTCATGGCATTTAAAATGCTGCTTGATAGACTGTAAAAAACAAACAAACAGCCAAAATGGTGAGTTTAAGGTCCCTTCTCTCCTTTCTTCCATTTTTCATCATGGGAGGCTGGATCACTTCTCCCAGATTCTTTATGATATGTTACCACATTCCTCAACCTCCACATGCCCCAAAGCATTCTTGAAATTCCATGTGATCTAAAGGCTGCCCAATTCTATTGTGATTGGTGGAAAAAGACATAAACAACTCACAGTCTGTACCTATACTCCCCTTCCTCATGCTACACCTTACTCCTGGCTGGGAGCCATTGCAGTTGTTCTTCCAAAAACCAGAAGCTCCCCATGGTCTGTGAGGCTTGCAGTTTTAGGCCCACACACAATGTGTTGGGATTGCTTGCCTGTGCTTCTGTTAGATCCATGCCACAATCAGTAAAATCTTGCTGGAATCAGCTGGATGGCAGTAAGAAGCTAATTCTAGTCCCCATTTTTGATCAGCAAATGAAGTCTCCTCTCTCCATTTCTTTTTCTTTTTAGCTGGACACCAGACTGTAGAAACAGCCCAAATACCCTGAGTTGCAAAGTTGGCAGTATGTTTCCTCCCCAGCTCAGATAGGTCTTCTGGCACCCATTCCCTATTCACTGTGAAACATAAAATATATACACTATACAGAGTTACTGGGCGCAACAACAAATACATTAAAAAAGATCTACTCTTATATACAGTATTTATAAAAAGCAAATTGATGAGCCACCACCCCAGTACAAAAATACATATTTATTTTATGCCCATTATAGTTATTAAACTCTAGAAACAATCATTTGTGGACTTTAAAATTATTCTCGCAACCCCTGTAAAAATATTCACCTTGATTTATTTGTTTCCCTCCCTCCCTCCCTATCCACCCCAGTTTTGAAATTCGTAAGGTGCAATTTCTGAATAAAAAGATTTTTTTTAAAAAAAAGAATCTTTCTTCTTGGCTTTTGGCAAAAAAGAGTAGAAGATGTCAGACATAATGGGGAAGATTGCAAGAAATCTGTGGACTACAAGTCAGGCTAGATTAGCTCAAGATAGTATGAAATGCTTCTTTTTTTAACTTTTCAGCTTAGATCCCTGAACCAATTTACATGGAAGTATGTGTTTTCATTTAAAGAAAATTTACTTCCATAACAGTGGTTGAAAACCACAGACATTTATCACACTGCTTTAAAAAAAATTGCAGTATTCCTAGAGCAAAATGTCACAGTGTGATGTAGGCCAGATACCACTGCCTTTTTAAAGGAAAGGATGTTATGCCAAGGCTGTTGAGTTCAATGGGACCTCTTTGAGGATTGGTGCAGGAGGGCAGGGCATTAGACACAGGATGGTGGGGCATTCGATCTCTGAGTGAAAACGCTCTTCAGTGTGTGACTTCACTGCCATCAATGTGACAGTGGTGTTAGCCTTCTTTCAGCATAAAAGGACACAAAAAAACTCTATTGGCATATTTGAGGCTATCTGGGAAGAAGCATAAACTTGGTTCATCAACCTTGAAATGTCTTTCTTTTCACATAGCCCCAAAATGCTACAAAATCTCTCCAACTATGTTCCTCAGAGTATTTTAAAAAAACAAAAACGTTTCCCTGCTGCGCAATTTTTGAATATGACCGAATGAAGTAATATTAGCCTTTTAAGGTGCAGTTATACCCACAAGTTACAGCAGGGTGCAGTGTAGTTTCATGTAATGCTAGGATATATCTGTGCAAAACACAGCAGTTATTGCAGCATGTTATATAGATCGCTCCTGTGTATCACAAAAACTGGCCAAACGCTACTTTTCAACAATGCTGTGATCCACAGTTGTCCCAAATGTGCAGTTCAGTACAGGAGGGAGAACTTCCCTGTGCATGGAAAATTAGAGGTTGTTTTTGTACATAGAAACCCACATGGGGTCCAGCTGTTATGCATGGCCATATGAACTGGCAAAGCAATGGCTTCATCTATCCATATCTGACAAAATATGTAATCGCTAGGAATTTTCTAGGTTCTCCAGGCAATACTATACTTCTGCTGGAAGATACCACAGATTGGCCTGAAAGACTCAACGAATTCTGAGACAGGTTGTCTCTCTAGGAATTTTCTTTGTCCTCTGAGGCAATTCTGTAATTACTTCCAGCAGAAGTCATTTATTTCAGTAGGGTTAACTATTGCCAGAAACGTATCCCCCATAGATGCGAGAATTGTACTGCAATAATAAAATTGAGGTCCGAGTGTTTAAATCTCAGGCTTTCTACAGTATTGTGGACCTTCCCTTCATTTCTGAGACTTTATTCCAGAAATATAGTTGATTTACTGTATCAGTCACTTAAGGATCCTGCTCTTAATTAGGCTTGGAACAAGGAAGTACAACCACCCACTCTGAGAGCTTAACAACAAGAAGTCTACTTTCTAGTTGTATCCATTAAATATTTTAAGCTACCAATCTTACCATCTGTACTTATTGAAAGAGAATATTCATGCTGAATATCAACTTGGCTTGTCTCCTGGAAGACCAAATTTCTTGCTCAGATATGGTTCAAAGAGGTTTTGCTGGTACACAACAAGCAATGAAATCCTCAATTTATACAATATATTATTTTATATATGTCTTAAGAATAAGATTTTGGTAATCCCTAGAGAAAAGTGCACTTTGAAATTTTCACAATATTTTGATGGGGTATCTCTGCTTCAGGATTCAAAACAGAAGTGAGTTTAATCTCTCCAGCATCACCCACAATGAAGACATTTTTTTCCTTTCCTGTTAAATCCATGGAACTACTTTTACATGGAAGGTATGGGGAAAGTTCTTTAGTGTAATGGGAGGCAAATATGGTGATTTTGCCAGCATTACAACCAGCTCTGCATTGATGGGATTGCTTTTCTTCCTCCCCACCAGCCCTCTGTGTCACCTGAAAACCTGTTCCAAATGTTTTCTCAGCCCTCCAGAGCATGTTTTGAAGATGTACAGAAGGAGGCAGATTAACTATTCTGTTCCTAGCTTTGCTGGCCAAAGCTATTGTCTTTTTTTCCATGGAGGAAATACAACAATTTCCGAGACTTCATTTTCACAATTGAACTCAGAATCACTTGCTTCTTTTTCTCTATCACTCTTGAGTTTGAAGAGGATCAAATGGCTCTCTGTTTTGTAACAATGCATCAATCATGCCTTCCACCTTTACTTGTGCTGGGAAATCACAGCCCATGACTGGACAGAGACTGGAGCTGAGGAGCAGAGCTATACTTCCATCTATTGGCTAGATTCCCTCTAAGTAACAGGAGATATTTTCCTCTACTGGAGATCCCGGAGGGAGTCAAAATCAACACAATTGGGCTACATGGTCAAATAGTTTGACCTGGAGGAGAAAACGTATTAATAGACAACCATTGAAAATCATTGGGCAACTTAACCCTCTCAATCTTCCTTACTTAGTCCAGGAGCAGAGACAGCATGGTTCTGGCTCCAATATAGTCACCAAGGATGTTTTAATGGCCCTCATCTCTCCAGAAGGCCTAGATTCTCCCCCTCTTTTCCTGGAGGAAAAATGGGGGATTACCTCTCCCGAAAGCCTCCAGGAGATTCAGGAATTCGCTTTTAAATAAATTGCAAAGCTTCCTTATACTATTGAACCTTTAAAAAAAAAAAGGATTCTTGCTTCCATAGCAGGCATGGTCTCCAGCTCACTTCTGGTTAGTTTTTTCTAATTCTGGCTGCCTTAGAAACCCTTGGAGGGAGTCCCAGGGGCCAAAACATGTTGTTCGCCCTGGTTTAGGCTTCATCATGCTTTTTCTACACACCCAATAGCTTCTTACATATGTTTCCTCTTCCCAATTTGTGGGTAGATCTAGGAAGAAGAGGCTTAAACATTTCAGAGTGCTGCACATCAATGTGGATCTTAGAGTTCATCTCTGATGGGGATGGGGAGACAATAATTTTTCCTCAGTTTCTTTAAAAAAATGACAAGATTAGAGAGAAGAAATAGAAAAGATTAATTATTTCTTTCTAAATTGCTCACAGTTGTACTGAATATCCAGCTATTCCTATGTAAATTATGCCAAGGAAAAACCAATTTCATGAAGGCAGCTATATAAATACAATTCCATTGGAATCTCATGGAATAAACAGAAGGAAAAAGTAATATAAGTATGTACAAACAAATGAAAATTATTTTAAAACCATTAAAATTAGCAGCAGTTAAATTCTTGCAAGTAGTTAGACTGGTGGACCACTTTAGTGGAAAGGCTACATTTCCCAGTAAGTATAGCCTCTGCTAGTAGATGGGGACAGAGACCACTCTGATATATTTATAAGCTAGGAGGGAATGATCTCTCAGATGAAAGGATTGGATAATTGGTAGCATAAATGTTCAGGATGTAAGAGCCTTGGACACAAAAGCCTCATAATGGTAGGAATCTACACTTCAACATTTCCAATGAAATGAATTGAGAGGAATCTTATGTCACCAAACACAGGCCAATTCTCTAACCCAAATTCAAGCTCCATTCTCCCCAAAGAAGGAAAAACCATGTTCATCAGCAAATCTCCTACTTTCACCAATCCATGTATCCAAAATATTACTGTATCTGTCCAGCTGACTTCAGTTGTCTAAGGAAAACTGAATTCTGACAAAGGGCCTAGGGAAGGTAGCACAATCCTAACTGATCTCAAATGGTAGCTCAAAAAGGTGGCTACACCTACACCATTTCCTGGCACCAGACCTCTGGGTCGGAGTAGAAGCAGAGTGTGGTCCACATATGGAAACTGGCAAGATTCACCTTGTTATTACACAAAACAATGAACTGTCCTGAGAGAGGACCATTGATCATAAGGCTTTTGAGGCTCTTGCAGAAGAAAAACCAAGTTTGAGAGAGAAAATCCACCAAGAAATAAAGGCTGAGGAATGACATCTGAGAGGGACGGAAGCCCTATAGTCAAAGTCATAAAAGGCCTGGAATATGATTTCAAAATATATTAATATTATATATTCCCAAATAACATTCCATAATAATATTCCTTTCCAAAATGTATTCACTTCATACTTTTTGCCTCTGCTAGGGAAACCTGTCATTTCTTCCAACCAGCTGTGAACCTCAGGTGAGCTCTCTGTACCTAGGTTCTTTAGCCACCCTTCCCATCATCTTCTGCTGCTGATTCCCCAGCCCCCTCAGTGTGGACAGCCATATTTGATATACAGGGCTGGATGTGCTTCTCATGGCAGCTCCCCCCTCCCCCCGCTCAACCCCTCAGATACGGACTGTTTCCCCAGTTTATGTGTTCATTGGCCATTGGTCTGACCCATCCCAGACCTGGAGATAAAATCAAATGCTTCAAAGAGTTAGAAACAGGTTTCTGGTCAGGTCCAGCCTGCAGCATCCCCTGGCTCAGCATGGATGTAAAGACCAAGTAACGAAACAGCACCCCAGCTCAGAATGGAGCAAGGGACTACATTACATTACAGTACTATTGGACATGGAGGGGGGCAGGAAAGGTATCCAAGCCAGCTTAGTTTCCCAAGGCGTTGATCCACGTCACAAGGCTCCAGGCCCTGCCTTGTTAGTGGCTGCCTCCACTCTTCCCACCTCCAGTGGCCCAGTCAATGATGATAAAGCTGAGGCTCATGATCATGAACAGCACACCAAGGCACGCAAAGAGGGCTGCCTGTGAAGAGAAGAAATGGGGTAAAGAGATGGTCACACACACAACCATGGGAATGCCTAGTCTTACTGCCTCTCCAAGAAATGTTCACTGTTCCCTGGCAGTCTGCCAATTTTTAGTGCAGTCCATGACTTGAAGGCATTTCACTCCTAAAAGAAAATGGTCTCCCAGAAATGCATGAAGCATGTATGTGTACAATCCACTTTGAGTCCCTTATGGAGAGAAAAAGCAGGGTATAAATAAACATAATAATAATAATAATGTTGTTGTTGTTGTTGTTCATTCGTTCAGTCGTCTCCGACTCTTCGTGACCTCATGGACCAGCCCACGCCAGAGCTCCCTGTCGGTCGTTACCACCCCCAGCTCCCTCAAGGTCAGTCCAGTCACTTCAAGGATGCCATCCATCCATCTTGCCCTTGGTCGGCCCCTCTTCCTTTTTCCTTCCATTTTCCCCAGCATCATTGTCTTCTCTAGGCTTTCCTGTCTCCTCATGATGTGGCCAAAGTACTTCAACTTTGTCTCTAGTATCTTTCCCTCCAGTGAGCAGTCGGGCTTTATTTCCTGGAGGATGGACTGGTTGGATCTTCTCGCAGGCCAAGGCACTCTCAGAACTTTCCTCCAACACCACAGCTCAAAAGCATCGATCTTCCTTCGCTCAGCCTTCCCTAAGGTCCAGCTCTCACATCCGTAGGAGACTACAGGGAATACCATGGCTTTGATTAGGCGGATCTTTGTTGCCAGTCTGATGTCTCTACTCTTTACTATTTATCGAGACTGGACATTGCTCTCCTCCCAAGAAGTAAGCATCTTCTGATTTCCTGGCCACAGTCTGCATCTGCAGTAATCTTTGCACCTAGAAATACAAAGTCTGTCACGGCCTCCACGCTTTCTCCCTCTATTTTCAGTTGTCAATCATTCTTGTTGCCATAATCTTGGTTTTTTTGACGTTTTAGCTGCAACCCGGCTTTTGCGCTTTCTTCTTTCACCTTGATTAGAAGGCTCCTCAGCTCCTCCTCGCTTTCGGCCATCAGAGTGGTGTCATCTGCATATCTGAGGTTGTTAATGTTTCTTCCAGCAATTTTCACCCCAGCTTTGCATTCATCCAGCCCCGCACATCGCATGATGTGTTCTGCATACAAGTTAAAAAGGTTGGGTGAGAGGATGCAGCCTTGCCGTATGCCTTTCCCAATCTTGAACCAGTCTGTTGTTCCATGGTCAGTTCTTACTGTTGCTACTTGGTCCTTGTACAGATTCCTCAGGAGAGAGACAAGGTGGCTTGGGATGCCCATCCCACTAAGAACTTGCCACAATTTATTATGATCCACACAGTCAAAGGCTTTAGAATAGTCAATGAAGCAGAAGTAGATGTTTTCTGAAACTCCCTGCCTTTCTCCATTATCCAGCGGATATTGGCAATTTGGTCTCTCGTTCCTCTGCCTTTTCTAAACCCAGCTTGTACATCTGGCAACTCTCGCTCCATGTATTGCTGGAGTCTTCCTTGCAGGATCTTGAGCATTACCTTACTGGTATGAGAAATAAGGGCCACTGTACAGAAGTTTGAGCAGTCTTTAGCATTTCCCTTTTTTGGTATGGGGATATAAGTTGATTTTTTCCAGTCTGATGGCCATTCTTGTGTTTTCCATATTTGCTGGCAAATGGCATGCATCACCTTGACAGCATCATCTTTTAAGATTTTAAACGGTTCAGCTGGGATCCCGTCATCTCCTGCTGCCTTGTTGTTAGCAATGCTTCTTAAGGCCCATTCAACCTCACTCCTCAGGATGTCTGGTTCTAATTCATTCACCACACCGTCAAAACTATCCTCAATATTATTATCCTTCCTATACAGATCTTCTGTATAGTCTCGCCACCTTCTCTTGATCTCTTCAGCTTCTGTTAGGTCCCTGCCATCTTTGTTTCTTATCATACTAATTTTTGCCTGAAATTTACCTCCAATGTTTCTAATTTTCTGGAAGAGGTCTCTTGTCCTTCCTATTCTGTTGTCTTCTTCCACTTCCATGCATTGCTTATTTAAAAATAGTTCCTTATCTCTTCTGGCTAACCTCTGGAATTGCGCATTTAACTGGGCATATCTCCCCTTATCACCTGTTTCCTTTTGCTTTCCTCCTTTCTTGGGCTACTTCCAGTGTCTCAGCAGACAACCATTTTGCCTTCTTGGTTTTCTTTTTCTTTGGGACGTACTTTGTTGCCGCCTCCTGCACAATGTCTCGGACTTCTGTCCATAGTTCTTCTGGGACTCTGTTACTAAATCTAGTCCTTCAAATCTGTTCTTCACTTCCACTGTATATTCGCTAGGAATGTTAGTGAGATCATATCTAACTGGTCTGTGTATTTTCCCTGATCTCTTTAGTTTTATTCTAAATTGGGCAATAAGAAGTTCGTGATCTGAGCTACAGTCAGCCCCAGGTCTTGTTTTCACCGACTGGATGGATGTCCGCCACCTTTGGCTGCAAAGGATGTAGTCAATCTGATTTCGGTGTTGACCATCTGGTGAGGTCCATGTGTAAAGCCGTCTTTTAGGTTGTTGGAAGAGAGTATTCGTTATACACAGCGAGTTTTCCTGGCACAATTCTATCAGCCTGCGTCCCGCTTCATTTTGTTCTCCCAGACCATGCTTGCCTGTGATCCCAGTTGTCATTTGACTTCCCACCTTGGCATTCCAGTCTCCTGTAATGAAAATAATGTCTCTTTTTGGTGTATTATCCAGTAGGTCCTGCAGATCCTCATAGAACTGATCTACTTCTGCTTCTTCAGCAGCTGTGGTTGGGGCGTATATTTGGATCACTGTAATGTTGAAAGGCTTTCCTTGCACTCGAATTGAGATCATTCTGTCATTTTTTGGGTTGTATCCAAGCACCGCTTTAGCGAATTTCTTATTAATTATGAAGGCTACTCCATTTCTTCGATGTTCCTCTTGTCCGCAGTAGTAGATCTGGTGGTCATCTGATGTGAAGTGGCCCATTCCAGTCCACTTCAGTCCGCTGACCCCCAGAATGTCTATCTTTAGTCTTGACATCTCGCCAATAACAACATCCAATTTGCCCTGGCTCATAGATCTTACATTCCAGGTTCCTATGGTGTGTTGATCTTTAGAGCATCGGATTCGTCGTTCACCTCCAGTACCGTCGGCCGCTAGCCTTCCTTTTGGCTTGAGCTAGCTGCGTCATCACATCTGGGGCTAGTTGAACTTATCCTCTGCTCCTCCCCAGTAGCATTTTGGCCATCTTCCGACCTGGGAGTCCCATCTTCCAATGGCATACCGACATATCTCTGGTTGTACTGGTCCATTTAGTTTCTCCAGCAAAGGATCACCGCCTTGTCGGGCATTGCCTTCCCCAGGGATCACGCTTTGTCTGACCTCTCTGCCACAACCGTCCCGTCTTGGGTGTCCCTTCACGGTTTCGCTCATGACATCATTGAGGTGCTCAAGCTCCAGCGCCCCGACAAGGCGGTGATCCTTTGCTGGAGAAATAATAATAATAATAATAATAATAATAATAATAATAATAATAATAATCCAGATTTCATATTTGGTATAGGTTTTGGATGTGCTACCCAAACATGACAAAACATATGCCAAGACTACATGACCATGCCAATGATTCCTTACTGTTAGCTACTGTCCATGTATTGGGAGGAATAATTTGTTCTATGCCAGAGGTGTCAAACTTCTGCCCCTCCAGATGTTTGGGCCTCCAACTTCTAGAAGCCCTAGCCAGCTTGTCCAATGGTCAGGAATTCTGGGGGCTGAAGTCAAAAACACCTGGAGGACCAGAAATTTGACACCACTCATCTACGCTCTGCAACTGTGAACCATACACACTGTAGCCCTGGTGCAATAGTAACTAAGGGTCCTTCCACACAGCCTTATAAACCAGAATATCAAGACAGATAATCCACAATATTTGCTTTGAACTGGATTATCTGAGTCCACACTGCCATATAATCCAGTTCAATGTGGATTTTATACAGCTCTGTGGAAGAGGCCTTACAGTTCAAAAATGCAATTGGCATTAAAAATAGGCATCAATGGACACTCTTTGGCTATTGCTTTAGATAATTGCTCACTATAGTCTCTTTTGACTCTCTCACAAATTAACAATGTATATATGTGTGACAGACAGTGTGAATGTTGGACTATGAATCTAAAAAGTGTACAAATACCTACTCATCCTTGGAAACCTAGTGGGTGGCTTTGGACAATTTACACTCCCTCAGCCTTAGAGTAAGGTAATGGCTAGCTCTCTCTGAACAAATCTTGCCAAGAAAAACCCTGTGATAGGGTCAGCATCCATTGGAAGTAGCATGGAGTCACACAACACACACACACCACAAGACTGTGTGCATGTACATTCATGTGGTCAGGCTGTATTTTTAGATTTTACGTACCACTATCTTGGGAGGGGATTTTGGTGGCTCCGTCTCATTGGGCATGATCCGGATGTAGAATATTGCCGGGAAGATGAATATTAGGCAGGGAGCCGAAGTGGCACCTGAAGAGATCAACAGAACATGTGTGTTTATGGGAAGTCTAGAAAGGGAAGATACACATGCCCATCCCACAGCCCTTCCTCAGTGGTTTTTCCTAGGAAACAACATCAACAAGCTGTGTTGGCAGGACCCCTGCACTTGCCTCACATCCCTAATGAGGTCCAGACACATGATTGATTTACTCATGACACATATAGATCTACTATTCTATCCAACAATTTTACTTGAAGATTCCAAACTGTTCCATTTTTGTAACCCTATAGTCATCCTTCATCAAAAACAAAAGCAAAAAATCAGAAAAGGACAGGAAAGAAGGGGGGAAAGCCAAATGGAGTCAACATAAACCTGTGTTGGGAAATATCTAAGGAACTAAGAAACGATCATCAATTCTAAAACAAACATTTATGTATAGGAAAGCTAAAGTGTCACGAGAAAGAAGATGGCAAATAAAGGGAAGACTCACCAATCAGGCCAAAGATGCCCAGGATAGAAGGGGCAAAAATGACAAGCAGGTTAATTGATGTCAACAGTACAACCGCAATGATAGTGTGTCGGATCCAGCAGAATTCCTTGTCTTGGAAGAGCATCTGCTGAATTGCACGGCGCACCTGGCAGACAGAAGGAGAGACTACTGTCAGATTCACCCCCTTCAGGAATAGATTATAACTCTCAATCAAACATACTTTAGTTCAAGCCTAACTTGTCCCCTTGCTCCACTAGTTAAACACAATCTTCTGGTTTAATATCAAATTCTAGTGCTCATTTCCAAGCTGCCTCTTGATAAACTCTTGACTTCTTCTCTCCATGCCTCAGCCAATGCTCTGTTTCACAATCAGTGGGAAAATCATGGCAGATGATCCATGTTTTTGATTAAAATGGGAGCCCTACATGTACCTTACACTAGCACTGTGGTGGCTGCCTGGAACTTGCTTGGCACAACATCTTCTTTCCTTTGGTTGACACACTGAGTTAAGCAGTACATACGTACATCCTGTGCAGTTGAATCAAGCCCATTCTACTTATGCACAGGAATGGCTAAATAAGCAGGACAAGGATGAATTTCCTTACCATGACACTGGTAGTTCTGCTACAGTAATCATACAACATTAATGCTTTATTCTCCAACTTGATTTTCTACAGCTGTTTAGCAGAGCTTAGAAAAGTGTTTAATTTTTTTTACAACAGTTCTTAAAACTGTTGTAAACCTGGCCACTGGGGATTCAGGGAATAGTTAAAAACATAAATTCCCCAAGCTTTAGTGTTTACATTTGTTTCTTATTTCCTTCTGCAAACAAGGTATATAATTCTTGTGGAAATTTGAAGTGACCCCGATATTAATGGTATATAGACCAGAGCCCCTGGTGATGCAGTGGGTTAAAGCACTGAGCTGCTGAACTTGTTGACTGAAAGGTTGCAGGTTCAAATCCGGGGAGCGGAGTGAGCACCTGCTGTTAGCCCCAGCTTCTGCCAACCTAGGAGTTCGAAAACATGCAAATGTGAGTAGATCAATAGGTAATGGTGCTCCTTGCAGTCATGCCAGCCACATGACCTAGGAGGTGTCTATGGACAACGCTGGTTCTTCAGCTTAGAAATGGAGATGAGCACCACACCCCAGAGTCGGACACGACTGGACTTAATGTCAGGGGAAAACACTTACCTTTACCAGACTGAACTCTGTTGATATTTATTTTCTCGCTAAGTTCCCAGTTAGAGTGGTATACAGTCCAGAATTGGACTATGTGTTAGATTGGTTTTTTGGTATGCAGCATAGGGAAACCCCTACCCTTTCTTCATTAACTCTTTGTCCATCAGTTTGCTGAGCAAGGAACATACCGGGAAGAGAACAATGGGCACCGTCAATGTCACTGCTGTCAACACAGCCACCCGCACACATAGGATCAGCACATCAAATGGGTCAACTCTGCTGTAGGTGTGTAGCAGCTCTGATTCCACCTGGCCTAGAAGGAGCAGACAAGAATGCAACATCATTACTGATTAGGCATCAGCATGGAACATGTTTGTATCACTCAATCACTCCTTAGAAAAGCAGGTTGTACATGCTATATTCTTGCACCAAAATGTGAGGATGCAATGGTATAGAGGTTAATGGTACAGAGATGGTATAGGTTGCAATGGTATAAAGAGTTTGAAAAGGTTACTTTTTTGGACAACATCTCATGGAATCCCCAGCCAATGTGGCCATTGGAGATAAGGTCCAAAAATAATTAGTTTTCTAAGGTCTGGATCCTATACACATTAGTATAGGAGTAAATCATATTAAATGCATACACACTTGCTTCCAAGTGTACTTGCATAGGATTAGTAGAATATTAAATTATTATGAACAATTTGTAGTAAATGATCTCCGTGATGTAATCATCTTGGGAAAAGGATGATATGGGATCTCTTACGGCTTGTCTATACTGACAAAAAACCCTGTTTCATACCACATTTCACAGTCCACAGTTTCCCCATTAACACCACCTACATCACACACATCATGGTGACAGAGCCATAACATGTTTCTCCCTGGTGAACTCACTTGGGTGTAAGAAAGCAATTCATATCTCTAAACGTTTGCATATCTATTATTTTTCGCACGAAAATGGCTGCTCCATATTCTCCCCAACCTTGTCATGCATGCAAATGTATGTTTTCCCTGTTAAGCATGAATGCACTAATACTGATATGCTTTCTTAAACAAAATAATGTCGACCATGTCGGCAAATTGAAAATTCATACTGGGAAAGAACCAATGATCAGGTTATCACCTCCCTCCAAAAAGTTTCATCCCCTGCTGTCTTCTCCCCCTTACTCCATAGTGATGCTTGAAGGACTGGTCACATGCCAAAAATTCCAGGTTTTCTGGAAATAATGAGGCAAGGTTTTTTGAACCAGATTAAAGTGCAAATAATTGTATTGCAAGCTAATTGTCCACAGCATTGTGTGTCTGGATTTCAGCAACTATGAAGTGAGTACATTTTTTTATCAGTGTAGGCAATCCTTTAGAGGCTATATTGTATGACTATTGGAAAGGCTCTTTATAATGTAGAAGAACTTACTGACATTTTTATAATGGTGATCACTAACAAATGGTTTGGGCATCTGCACAGTATCCTTGCAAATCTGTATCAGAGGGTGAGTGCTATGCTCCAAGGACAGAAGCATGTGGTTTCAGTGGCTCTTTGTGATCACCCCAGTGTTCCCCACCCATCTTTCTGTCATTTGATCCTAGTGGTAAGGACTTACCATAGAAAGTGAGGTAGCCAAAAAGAGCAGCCAGGAAATACATGACATACATGACAGTGATGGAGATGTTGGAGATGCACTGCATTTTCTTCTTGGATGGACTGAAGAAGACATGCAGAAACACAGTGAGGAGAAGCATTCTTGACACTTTTAAAGCACATGTCCTTGTTTGCTGAAATCTCTTTTCCTTCACATTCATTCAAGTCAGAAATAAATATATAACAAAAAGAGCCAAGATTGGAAAGCATCCCAATCCAGTCTGTGAAGTCAAATTATGCAAGGCCACAACAGTTGATAACATAGTACCAGCTGTGGCCCTTAGCAAGTATCAATTACCCTGAGTACTGAGAATGGGCATGCCAGTAACACAAAGAAAAAAGCCTTAGAAGTAACACTATAAAATGCCACAATGGCTCCTTATTCTAGAGAACCAATCAAATAAGCCATCTGTGGACCTATTTCTTGGCTTGGAAATGCAATGTTATACAGCAAATCCATTAAAATTCACCTGATATATGAAGCACACAAGGCAGGTGCATATAGGTTATTCCATTGTCCCTCCCAGTTTCATTCACCTTCTCTTATCCTGTCTCAGTGTCATATTTTAGCATATGCTCAAATACTTACTCTTTCAGTTCAGTGTAAATAGGCAGGACCTCAGGGTGACACACAAAAGCAAATGCCATGATAGGAATGGTGTAAGCTGTCTGTAAGACAGAAGAGGATAGATATTAGGGAACTGTTGAGTTAATTTCTCTTTCTTGCCCCCACAACCCCATCCCAAGGCTGTAGGTTTGCAGCCTTTCAACTTCTACAAGAAGCACTGAGCTGGAGAAATACCAATTGGAAACACCTCACATTAATGAATATTCTCCTTCACTACGTCCACTTTGGCATATCATGAAATGGACAATGAGCTCCCAAAAGATATGTTCTAGCAAACTCTACCAAGTTCTACCAAGCAGATAAATCTGAATGTCTGCTTCCTGAGGATCATAAATATGGAGACACCCATAATCAGAAGATTTGTCACAATGGTTCATTCACACTGCAGAATTATAGTGCTACAATTCTCAGCCAGACAGTTCCTCTGGAACCTTTCCAAATGACAAACCCCAGGATTCCAAAGGACAGAACCATGAGAATAAAGTGAAATAATACTGTTATAATTATGCAGTGTGAATGGGCCCCAAGCAATAACATGGACACAACTATGAATACATAGTAAAGTGAAATATTGGGGTCTTTGTTAACCGAAGCACTGCCTGTACCAATGAAATCAATCAAGATTACATGTATTAGCAACTTCCATGAGCAGAAGGGATGGAGGCAAGTATTACTAGTGGAAACTGAGCTCTCGTTTGAGTAGAATTGTGTATTCATATAATCACTGCCTTCCATCGGTAGGCAAAGACTTTTATTTCTGACATACTTTTGAGAATTAAAGGCTTTTGAAGAAAGAGTTTAGGGACTGTGCTGTACTGTTTTAACTGTATTTTTAAAAACTGCTTTTCAGCATTTTTAATTGTTTTTAGCATTATTTATATGGTAATTGTATTCAATTTTAATGCTACTTTAAGGCATTTTAACTACATTGTACTTGCTTTAATTTGTAAGCCACTTTGATCCTTGCCTCAGAGGAAAAAGATGGAATGTAAATAAAGATAATAGCAACAACAACCACAATTTTGTAGTCACTCTTACAACTGCCTGTAGGGTGGTCAGGAAGCATTTGCCTCACATTCCCAGTTTGATACTGCTCCTAGCTTCATTCAGCTCTCCTTTGGCTTTTCTAGCCCCTTAAATTTCATCCCTTGCAATCAAAATCACGTCCTCCCTCCCTTGTTGTTTTATTGTATTATCCCACTTCCACCCTCCCCTCCTTGTACATGCAATTTATACAGCAAACTACAGAAGTTACATTTGAAATATCAATCTCAGCCTTAATTTTTCCATTCCACATCTTAATACATTCTCTAAATAATTCCTAACTGGGTCCCACATCCTCTTAGTTATTGTAACCTTTTCAATTTTATCTATATTGTTCCATTTGCAATTTGTAATTTCCACATTTAACATTTTAACTATATACTTATGCCAATTAGTCAGTGTCCATTTTGTTTTATCTTTCCAACCCCTCACTAAAACAATTTGTGCACACGCTATTAATTTGTCAACCAATTTTTCATTCTATTGATTTCTCCTTCAATCCTCCCTCCCTGAGTTCTCCCCTTTAAAAATTTCTTCCTCCCAGCCTTCTGAAGCCATCATATTCCTATGTTATCTATTCTGTACTTACTCCGTTCTTACTACTACACACTAGAACACAAGGGGGAAGGTGCTGTGATATTGCAGATGTAATGCTTGAATTGTGTTTTCATAATGTAATGATCTGTGGGCCAATTTAGCATGGCTCTTTTGTTATTATGTTACATCTCTGTCAGTCTGGTCCACTTCCATCACACAGATTTGGTGTCATGTCTACAGGCTGTACTGTGTCTAGCCCTTGCGTTGGCTCCATAACCAAAGAATCATTTAACCGAGATACAAGGTAACTGTCAAGGACAAGCAGGCATAGGCAAGCTTATGTCCTTCCCTATGCTTTTGTTTACAATGCTCATCAACCCCAGTCAACAAGCCTGATGGTAAGGAGTGATAAGTACTGTAGTTCTAAACATATAAGTAGAGTTTGTATTTAAGAATTTACTAAGTTTGATATAAACCTGTAGCATATTAGTACACATTAAAGTATTTATTATTGAAGTTAGTCAGATAATGAACCCACTCCACCAACCTGAGAGTTGAGTGTGAACAAACTTGCGGAGCAGATCTCTTCATTGGTTTCCTCCATGACTGTGTGGTCATTCTGATAGCTGCTTGTGCTGACCGGGGTATAATTCATGTTGCTTGTGCCATTGTCTCTGTCTGGAAGTGGGCAGGGAATCTGGAACCTTTTGTAAATGACCTAAAGTGGACACAAGATACCATCAGTACAGCCCTGTAGTCAGTTCTGGACGACTGTCAATCTAAGGAAAAATATAACTAATCTGAGTAAAAATTAGGCGAGTGAAGACCCTAGGCGCTAAGGTTTTGGTATCACAAAGCAATGTACTTTTCATACCTCATGTTTGGTTGCAACCCTTGTCAGTAGGGAATGCAAGTAGCACATCAGAATGGACTTGCCCTAATGCCCCTGGCTTGTATTCTGCAAAATAACACAGCTACACATATTTATAAGACTGTGAGAGTTGCAAAAAGGAAGATTTTCTTGTTTGATTCCCTTGGGGTATTGTTCTTATGAGATGTCAGGAAAATGATGCAAAAGCAATCATTAAGCATGAAAAAGAGGGAATTTTCAAGCAAAGTGATATTCAAAGTGAAATCCATAGGATACTGTTTACTTTATCTAAATTTAGAACCAATCCTGCCTTGGAACCTCATAACAACTTGGGGAAACAGTCGGAGGTAACAGGTATCCCATCTGTTCTCAGACTTGCACCCCCTTCCCAGTTAATTGTCTGTCTGAGCAGCCACCATTTGGGGTTCTAGCCTCCTCCTGTCACTCTACATACTTGCATGCAACTTCATTGCCCAAAAATAGATCAGTGTTGCTGACAAGGAGAGAATGCTGTTACATGCCTTTCTCTGCCGGTTACTGAAAGGGCTGCGGGGCAGCTCCCTTGCTATTTACTGTGACAGCCCAACAACACGTGCAAAACACAGGCCCCATCTACACTGTCATTTAAAATCCAGCTTATCTGCTTTGAACTGGGTTATATGGAATTGTAGACTAATATAACCCAGTTCAAAGCAGATAATCTGGATTTTATATGGCAGTGTAGATATGGCCACAGCCATCCAGGTTTAGCACAGCAGGAGCATCCAGACATTGCCCCTTGCCTGGCTGACTGACAATGACTGGAATGGCGATTTGATGGATGACACTGTTTTATTGTTTTAATGATTGTTTTATTGCTCATGGATGTATTTTTAAATTTAATTTATGTCTAACTGTAGGGTATAATTGTAATTGTTTGTACTGGCATTGAATTTTTGCCATTACTTATGTGTAAACCGCTTTGAGTCCCCCATGGGGTGAGAAAAACGGTATACAAATACTGTAAATAAATAACTAAATAAATTATGAATACAGACCAGAACAGGAGAGATTTCAAGTGCATATTCATGGGTTTGGCTTTATTAAAGCTCAGTTCTAGTAGCAAAATAACTATGTCATGTCAGCAAGAACTCTCTTTTTATTTATTCTAGTGATACTACTTTTTAAAGTCACAATCTTCTTCCAAGAAGCTCAGGAGAGCGTCATTTCTCCCCACCTTGATTTTGCCATGAAGCTAACATTACAGTTGTCCCCCTATATCTTTGGGTTCTGCATTCTAATCCAACCACCCATGTTTGAAACTATCCCTGCCCTCCAGTCAGTCCCCAAAGCAAACCTTCATTTTGCCATTGGATATAAAGGACTCCATTTTACTTCACAATTGTATATAATGAGACTTGAGCATCCGCTGATTTTGATATTAGCATGGGTGAAGGGGATGAGGTCCTGGAACTAATGTACAGAACATACCAAGGGATCACTGTATAATGATCCTATGAGCCCTGAATCATAGAATCTTTGAGTTGGAAGAGACTTCGCAGGCCATCCAGTCCAACCCCCTGCCAAGAAACAGGAAAATCACATTCAAAGTACCTCTGACAGATGGGCATCCAGCTTCTTTTTAAAAGCCTCCAAAGAAAGAGCATCCACCACACTCCAGGGCAGAGAGTTCCACTGCTGAACAGCTCTCACAGTTAGGAAATTCTTCCTAATTGTTTGAAGCCATTGCTCCGCATCCTAGTCTACAGGGCAGCAGGTAACAGGCTTGCTCCCTCCTCCCTATGACTTCCCCTCACATATTTATACATGGCCATCATATCTCCTCTCAGCCTTCTCTTCTTCAAGATAAACATGCCCAGCTCTTTAAGTTGCAACTGATAATCAACTGCTCTGTTAAGCTCTTGAAAACTCAAAGCCAAAATTTCCTTGACTGGTTGTATCCACCTATGGGACAGTGTCTAGCTTTTCCTACTACTTTCTATTTTCCTCAGCTTTATTCCAAGGAGTCAGATAATTGCATGAAATGTCCTAAGTACAACTGATTCGGTTTAGCCATTTTCATTTCTAATGAGCATTCAGCCTTGATTTGCTATAAAACAAATTCATTTAGAGTATTTTAGCAGTCCATGGTATTAGTAGAACTCTTCATTTGCTCCATGATTGTAATGAGTTGATCTTCCCATGAAATTTACATTTGGGAATCTTGTCTAGCTCCTTCATAGCTAGAATTTCCAGGTCTTAGTCATCTTCTGATTTCTTGACTGCAGTCTCCATTTTAGTTAATGACTTTGCTAAGGTATAGGAAATCCTTAACCATTTCAATGTCTTTACTGTCCACTTAAAAGTTATGGAAATCTTCTGCATTCATTATTTTTGTCTTCTTGCTGTTTAACTGTAACTCTGTTTTTTGCACTTTCACAAATCAGAGAACATCAAAATGTTTCTCTTTTTGGCATATAGCTTTCAGGATTCCGAGGCCCCCCTTTTCAATATGTACCTACCAAAAATTGCCCATTCCCTTGGGAGGTTAGTCTGAGACATTATTGTGATCCCCAGGCTACATAGTGACCTTCTTGGCTTAGGTAATGTAAGTTATTACAAAAAGTGTTATAAAGAATATTTCACTATTCAACAACTCACCGAAATAAGGAAGAAGACCATGCAGCTGAGAGAAAAACCACTTGCATAACCAAGGTAACCTGGCAAAAGAGAAAACAGGAAGTTTCAGAAAAGTCCCTGGATAGTGTTTATCTCTCTACCTTTTAGGTGTGAAGTGATCCTATGAGCCCTGAATCTCAGATTTTGAACACAATCCAAAGGCAGAACCTAAGGTAGTGGTTTCCAAATGTCGGTCTTCCAGATGTTTTAGAATTCAGCTCCCACAATGTCTGACTATTGGCCAAGTCAGCTGGGAGTTGAAATCCAAAAAACCTGGAGGATCAAAGTTTAGAAATCACTGATCCAAGATACTGCCATGGAGTAAAGGTATTTGTCATTAATTCTTTCTATCCACTGCTGAATTTCTTGATATGTACCAACTTCAGTGGAGTAATGGTGCTTTTGGAACAGTTTTTCAGATACACTTTCCTGAATATAGTGGAGAATATTTTGATCATGAAGAGCTGTGGTTTTAGTCTTCTCCCTTTACAGAGGAACCAACTGTGGAACCAATTGATGGTTCCACAGCCCTAAACAAAGTTCTTCCATCAATTGCCCTAGAAACACATGGGACTGGAGAAAGACATTGCAGTATTTATGAAAAAACAGATGTTTTTCATGTTTTAGCAAAATTAAAAACAGAAAACACCCTTCCAAGTAGTCTGTTTGGATTTTTCCCAGTTGACCAAACTCAGTCATTTATCACTTTCAAATAGCAGGTGAGATAAGATCATAAAGTTATGCTTAGATTCCCCACCCATTGCCTAGGAAGACATACCAAGTTGTTTCATGAGAGCCAAAGGGAGGATGATGGAGATGGAAACCATGATCACCAGGTAATTGCCGTTCATGTACCAGTCCCTAAAATGACACAGGCCAAGGTTAGATTATCTGCAGGATTTTGAAGGAGGTTATATATAAACAGAGTTTGGTTAGAAAATGTAACACTGAATGAGGCATCAATACAGCCCTGCATGGCTCAGGTCCAAGCTATCTGAAGAAATGTACTTTCCCATATCAGCCTGCCCAGCCCCAACATCTTCAGGGGAGGCACTTCTTCTCTCTCTGTCCTGCCACCTTCACAGGCATGTTTAATGTGAACATGGAAGGGGGCTTTCTATGTGGCTGCCCCAAGACTTGGACCTGTCCATAATAAAGCTAGGACGGCTCCTACTTTGCTGTCTCTTTGGTGACTGGTGAAGACCTTTGTGCTCCATCAAGTCTTTGGGAAATGATTGCTAACAACAAAAAGGTATTTTTTGAGGCTGTGCTGTTTTTTAAAAATCTGTTTTAAAGTAACATTCTGACTGGATTTAATTGTGTTGTTACTTTAATGCTGTTTTACCCTTGTATGTAAACAAGATAACTCCCAGGGAGGCCCTGCTCTTGGTCCCACCTTCTTTACAGACATGGTTGTCGGGGATGAGAGACAGGACATTCTCAGTGGTGGCCCCTCAGCTGTGGAGCTCCCACCATAGAGATATTAGATAATCCCCCTCTCTCCTGACCCTCTACAGGAAAGCAAAAACCTGGCTTTTTGAACAAGCCTTTGGGAATGCAGTACAAGAATTAAATCCAGATTCATATGGAACTGAATTATGGAATGGCTCAGACGATGTTTTTTGGACAACATGATAAACAGTGAAGAAATTGGTTTTTATATGTTTTAAAATGGTTTTATTGTATGATTTGATAAATCTATTTCAATCTTTAAATTTTATACTGTATATGGTTATGGCATTGAATGGCTGCTGGGTTGTAAGCTGCCTTGAGTCACCTTCAGGTTCAAGAAAGGCAGGATAGAAATATCGTAAATAAATAAATAAATAAATAAATATGTTTAAAACTATACATTAAACCATAAGCACCTAGGTTTCTCCAAAGTAGAAAAAAACTGCCCCTGAACCTGGATTGTAGCACCAAGTGGAAATGAGGATTCAGACTTCAGTGCTTTTTCAGAATGTTGCCTAATAGTTTGAGGATCTGAGGAAAAGTCTACGAGTTTCCACCTGAACATTTATCAATTGCATAATATAGTTCATCAATGAAAACTATTCTGATTGAATAGTAATGTGCCTTTCTTTGTTGCACTTTGTGGAAATCTCCCTTAAGCTGCATCTTAACCTACACAAACATCAGAACCAGCCTATGTTGAATATCCTAAGTGCTCTTTCTAATATAGAAAATGGAATTGATGATTCAGTGGATGATTAGCTACTTAAAATTGATTCAATTGACAGAGATGGATAAACCCTCATGTATATTGAAAGACAAACTTATACAGAACTTTCAGAACAATTGGACACCATTTTTATTGTATTTGAAAAAAATAAAACAAAGTATTGGCTCTTAACAGGCTTTGATAATTAAAATAAATGCTTTTATATTTCTACTTGAGTTTGGAAAGTTAAATGGAAAATGTCCAACAAAACCAAGTTTATAGTTCAGTATGTTTTCTAATCTTTATTTAGGTATCCTGGAGTGACAGCAGGGAGTCAGTTAAATAGAATGTTTAAAAAGGATAAAGTGCAGTCACAAGAATTGTAAATTTATGCATTACATATATTTATCTAATTATTAGCATCAATACTCAATTGAGAATTGTAAATAATATGATTAAAAGCTTCAACAAAAATAAAATGGAATGAGAAATTGTATTATCTTCCCTACAGTGTAGAATCCAGAAAATGCAATAATAAAGGATATAATGGAAATGTGTTGGTAGCAAACAGAAAGGTCTCAAAAACTAAAACTGACTCCAAGTAGTATTTCAAATGGTCAGTACAGGTTGTGTATCCCTTATCCAAAATCAATAGGACTAAAAGTGTTTTGAATTTTGGATTTTTTTAAAATTTAGAAATATTTGCTATAATATATAATGAATTATGTTGGAGATGGAAATAATGTCTAAGCATAAAATTCATAAAAGAATTTTGTGAATTAAGCAGAGTTTCTTTACACTAAACCATCAGAAAGCAACGATGTCATTATCTTAGTCACCTATGTGGACAATTTTGGATTCTGGTGTATTTTGGATTTCATAATTCTGGATAAGAGATGCTCAACCTGTATATGGGGCTTGAGGATAAGGAGTGGCTAAGGAAAGAAAAGTAATTTAGTGTCTTCAAGTTAAACATGTTTTCAAAGCTATTATTTCTTATTCCCTTCCTTGCTGCAGAAATACCATTTCCTGGGAACTTTCACTCCCCTGGTTTCTGTATCAAGTTTTTCCTCCCAATTCCAAATTATATGGAAACTTGACATTTTGCAAACAATATTCTAAAGCTGATTGCATTATTCCATTAGATGCCACTATTGTTCAGCATCTAATTTATTACATAATTTCACTTTTCTAGATATTGTAACTGTATACATCACGTCACATAAAATTAATGTTCTGATGATGGACCCTGTTAGTTTCTTGGGCAATTACAATTAGCTTGATCTACATTCTAGATAGTATTTGTTCTATCTGCAAACTAACTCTTGAACACTACTCTTCCTATTAGCAACCATGTTTCAAATTCCAGTATGAGCCCTGCTTAAGACAGAGCTGAGAAAATTATGTTTAGAGGATGACAATTCCCTGTTGAATGGAGGAATTCTATGAGCTGAAGTCCAAAAAATCTAATGTTTACAAGTTCAGATGTACTGATCTGCCTCTAAATTTGGTTGCCTTAGATGTCAGCCCTTGAGTCATTGCTATAAATTCTAGCCAGTGAGGGACAATGCAGGATATGCTCTGGAAGCCCCTAATGTAAAAATCTTGTTGACCTTGAGCTTTGGCCCAACGTGGGAACAAAAAGTATGTTTCTATGAGTTTTTTAGAGGAAATGAAATGGCCTATTGTTTTTAGCTCCCGCACACACTTCTGGTAACTGGCTAAGCTGAGCCCTGAAGTGCCTGTGGAAAAGACAAACAATGACCTTTGCATGGACTCTCTTGAAAATCAGTGTCAAACAGCTTTGATATGCCTTGGATCTCAGTGGGGCTCAGCTTGCACTAAACTCCTTGGTTTGAAGATCAATAAAGCTGCTCACCGCAGAGACCCTCCAGGGACTTCTAGTTGTGTACAGCATGACATTCAATATGTCTTCCTTTCTGGATATAGGCTGCCTCACTAATTTCTACTCATCATGCTGGACCTTTCTGCCCCATAGCTGTTCTCCTTGTCAGTTGTCATAAAATCAGCTTCTCTTCGAGTAAGCGAGATGAGATGGTTTGCTTTGGGAACCAGGGCAGGCGAGGTTTGTATTTCTGATCTTCTTCCCTTCATCTTGACCCCTCCTTTCTTCCTTGCTCTTCTACTATATCTTCTAACTGTCCTGATTCAAGAAGGTCGGTCCCATTTAATCCTCTGTCAGCCTACGTTTTCATTTCTTTTTCAAATAACCCAGTTTCTTTCTCCATCTCCCACATTCCTCCTTCATCTCCAGCTAATTTCATTGCTGCAGATCTCAGTGGGAGGAGAGGAGGGTGCAGAATCATGCTCTTCCTAAGAGGCGCTGGTGAAAGCAAAGCGCCAAGATCTCTCATTAGCAACTTTTTCCATCTTCTTCATACTCTGCTGTTCCTTTGCCACATATAACCTGGTTTTAATCTGTGATATGGTCTATATATGACTGAGGATGGTCCTTGTTCTTTTATTTTTCATTATTTCACATATCTTTTTGTGAGGTAGCCATGGAGCAAATAGTTTTAGTTAGGCAGAGAGTTATGCCCTATCTGCAGAAGAAAAGAAATTGCATTGGACTTGATTCTGTCATCCAAGATAGCATTTTCTTAGCATTTTCTTAGCATTAGCATTTTCCAGAGACTTGTTGCAAAATACTTTCACCTTCCTCTAAGCATCTGCACATTTCAAGCCTTGCAAGGTGCACCCAAAAGAAGGTGCAAACTTTAAAATGCAAAAGCTAAAATTGTCAAAGATTTGGGGGGGAAAGGCAGAAACATGTTTTAGACAATGGGAACAGTGGAATAAACTAGAGAAATTGTGCAATTTAGGCTCAAATGAGGGGAAATGTGTTTTTAAAAATTCATTATTTTCAGTCTGAGGAAAAAACATAAGAGTGCAACAACCTGATACAAAACAAGTCTGGGAAGACAATGAAGGTGGAATTGAGAAAGCAAACAAAATAGAGACTGGGATTTTTTACACCTCTATCCCTACAACTAAGATGCACATGCAAAAAATGTATACATTGCACAATGTTTTAAAAGGTAAAGAATTCCTTGAAAGCCAATGTGGTGTAGCAGTTTGAGTGTTGGACTAGAACTTCCTGTTCAACCATTGGAACTCAGTGAGTGGTTTTAGGAAAATCAGCTGCAGAGGTTAAGCAATGACAACCTCCCCCTCCCTAACAAATCTTGCCATGAAAACCCTTGGATTTGTTTGCCTTATGACCAACATAAATTTAAAAATTATTTTAAGGCATACAATAATTTTAAAAAATCATTGTACAATCAAAAATGGTGATTCTCAAAATGTCTTGGTTTCTGCACCACTGAGTTTTTGAACATGAAGGGGCAGAATAGAAACCACCTCAGTGTGGCACAAGCTAGGAGGTGGGATCTTCAAAGGGGGAAAGTAGGGGCTGACAGTAGACCTTTCTTGCCTATAGAGTCTTACAGTCCCTTCAGTCTGAATCTGAAAAGCTTGCCTTGCAAACCTGCGGGTCATCTATATCCCTGGGTAACATAGTATCAATGATTCTCCTATATTGCCTCTCCTGCTCACTTTGAACCAAAACTTGGAAAAGCTAATTTTTGGACTATAGCTGTAAGGCTTAAAAGAGATCATTTCAGAAGGGACATGGAGGAGTGAGTTGGATATAAGTCACTATAAAAGAGGTTTCTGTGTTTGTGTGCAAAGGGGGGGGGGTGTCCTCAAAGTTTATGATAAACTGAAACTGGAGTTAATGTATTCTAATGAGAAAAGTCTGCCTTACAATATTTTCCAAATGCACACTATTTTCCAAAGCATTTATTTATTTATTTATTTACCACACTTGTACCTCACCCTTCTCAACCCTGAAGAGAGGCCTTACAAAGGCAACAATTAGATGCCAAATATACATATACATATCAATAAATAAACAAATGCATTAAAACATCCACCATTGGTGGGGGACACAGGACGCTCTGGAGGAAATCAGCCACAAACATACATACACTGTCACCCACGTACATATATAGATACATATATACATTCACTTAAATGCCCTCCTGTCATGTGCATTTCCAGACCCTGTAGTCATGGGATTAGGAACTGAATGCCTGATCCTTAGTACTCAAGAGTTACCATTTTAGTGAATTATTGACTCCTTCCTAGACAAAAGCTACAATAAACATGGCTGGTTGTAGAATTAGATGGAATGTCAATCACACAGAATGTGAGAAGAATCCAAGTAGTCATGTTCTCACCTTGTTTAAGGTGGACACAAAGTATTTTTAGGAGCAATACTGCAAACCACCTATTCTAGAAAATGGGCACTGCCTAATAGAAATATTAATGCATCAGTAAGCAGAAAGGTTTGGTCTCTTTTTCTCAAATGCTGCATAGCAGAAGATATGTTGTGAGCAGAAGCACGAATACAGCTGCTGCATCCAGGACAGAGGCTGTGGAGGAAATGATGCATCGTGCAAGGATTGGAAGTTCACTCTGGTTTAATCCTATGCAAAGGGTTTATTCAGCACTGCGTCAATCAAAAATAGTAGTGGCTTAATCCCTGTGACAGGCTGCCCAGCAGGAGACAAATCTCTGTGCTACGAGAGAAAGATGTGAACTAGAGCTGAGCCCTTGGGAAGGAGGGAGAAAGCTGGGGAGGTGTGGGCGGGAGAGAAACAATCAACTAGGTGGGGAAAGGTGCTTGCAAGAGATGAAAAAAGGCCTTAGCAAAGCTTAGCATAAGTATTTTGAGGGCCACAGCTCCAAGATTTTCCCATCCCTCTGGCCCTTAATAAGGGCCTATTATTGGATGTCCAGGAGACCTACAGCCCCGACCTAGAATCCATCTGAAAGTACAGATACAAATAGTCACCCCTAAACAACATAGCCTCTGCTGAGTACAGTGATGAACACAATGGTCTACTGGTGAAAAAATAATCATGCTGAGGTAAATGGGAGATGAGCCAGCCAAGAGACACTCACGTTGTTTTCTCCTCCAGGTTGAGGAAGGTCTGGATAACCAGAGGCACTTCAGATTTCACAATGTACAGGTAACTTGACATGGCTGAGGAGGGAGGGAGACATAATATCAGAAGAAAAGTTGCTTGGCAACACTGTCCCTATTGGTGTCATTGATTATTCACTCCCAGACAACAAAGGTGGTGATCATGTACAGCTCTACATTTTGTTGGACTTCGAGTCCCATCATCATTGATTAGCACAACAAATGTTGAGGGATGATGGGAGCTACCACTGGGAGGACTACCTCATCCCCAGCCCTGCTATCTCAGGAGAATAGATAAGAGGCATTCACAGAGGATAGAAAACAGAGGCGCAGTCTCCATTTCCTTCTTACCTCCGATATTCTGTAGTGTTATAGCAACAGCAGCAGCCAATTTCCCTGGAGTTCCAAATGCCCTGTAGCCCAACTGTTCATAGGCACGGATTCCTTACACGACATCACAATTTAACAGACAAGGACAAAAGAGAAAGAGAAAAGGAGGGAGGGAGGGAGAGGATAAGTGACTCATATTTGTACAAGACACATCGCTCTTGGGCAAAATCTCGGGCAACACAGCAAGAATGACAGTGATTATTAGAAGGTGACTTTAAGAAATCAAGCACAGTGAATTGACAGCAGTCAGAATTCTTCACAGTCCCTAAAAGTTCAAGTAAAGAACCATTCTACTGCTAAATAATATAGGAGAAAACATTGACAGGCACTATAGGATCCATTTTTATATGTTACTAGCGTTCCCCTGCCACGCGTTGCTGTGGCCCAGTCTGGTGATCTGGAAAATAAAGTAATGAGAAAGTGTTGGTTTCTAATATATGTAATTTCTTTCTGCTTGTGGGTAAACAGTATTTCTTGCTGTTTCTTTGCGAGTGTAGATGTGGAGATTGTCTGGTTTGCTTACTCCAGAACATGCAACATATCATTGTCCTTATTTACTTATTTATTTATTTATTTACTTTATTTGTATACCGCTCTTCTCAGCCCTTAGGCGACTTCTTTAGGGTCCACTTTCAAATCTTTGGTACTGCATCTGTCATATACATATATGTATGTGTGTGAATGGCTGGATGACCCTTTGTCAGGAGGGCTTTGATTATGTTTTCTTGCCCTGGTGAAGGGAGTTGGACCGGGTGGCCTTAAGACAGCATTTCTCAACCTGGGAAGTCAAGACCAGGGGGGATCACCGAGGGGGGGGGGGGTCAGAAGCGTCACCAAAGACCACGAGAAAACACAGTATTTTCTAACAGTCATGGGGGTTCTGTGTGGGATGTTTGGCCCAATTCCATCGTTCGTGGGGCTCGGAATGCTCCTTGATTGTAGGTGAACTATAAATCCCAGTAACTACAACTCCCAAATGTCAATGTCTATTTTCCCCAAACTCCATATATGTTAATATTTGGGCACATGGAATATTTGTGCCAAGTTTAGTCCAGATCCATCATTGGTTGAGTTCACAGTGCTCTCTAGATGTAGGTGAACTACAACTCCCAAACTCAAGGTCAATGCCCACCAAACCCTTCCAGTGTTTTCTGTTGGTCAAGGGAGTCCTGTGTGCCAAGTTTGGTTCAATTCCATCATTGGTGGAGTTCAGAGTGCTGTTTGATTGTAGGTGAACTATAAATCCCAGGAACTACAACTCCCAAATGACAAAATTGTAATTTTTTGAGTGATGGTCCCTCCTTGTGTTGTGAGACGTTTTGTTGCCAAATTTGGTGTGATTTTGTTCATTGGTTCTTTTGTTTTTAAGGTACTCATTATGCACAGAGCATTTTTATATATATAGATTATAGCAGAGTAACACTTGCGATAGAATTAGAGTGAGAACTGGAAGGGCAACAACTCTCTGATCATAAACCTCACAAATTCATAGGAGGTCAAAGATGCAAAAGGCCACAGTTTTACTTCACTTAGTTTATTCATACCCAGCTTGTTCCTTCATGGTACTCAGGATCATATGTGGAATCCCCAGATAGTCTCCCATCCCAATCTGGCATCGACCTCATCAGACAGGGTGAATTTAACATTGCTGGATGCTTTACAATGGAGCCAGCACAAGGCCTTGCCGGGAGGACAACACTTTCCCCATGTGACGGAGAAAGCATCACTAAGAGGGAGCTGTGCGCATGTGACAGATTCACCCTACTGCCCTTCTCTTTTCTCCCAGATGCCAGGTGAAGCAGGACACTTCGCCTGGCCTTTATGATGAGGCTCCAAGTCAAGCCTACTCATTTCCAGCAAGATAGTTATGAGAAATGCCCTGAGATTATACCATGGGAGAAAAGTGAGACGATTCTAAATCAATTATAGTATTTTATACAGATTTGCAACACTTACCGACAATTCCTGAGGATTTGAGCAGCAAGTGGATCGAGTAACTGGACAACAGTGCTACAGCAGTCAAGAGAAATCTAGAAGAAAAAGAGGAGACTATCATCTGGGGAGCTTTTCAAGCTTTGGTCCCAACCAACAGGACAGAGAATTTTCATAGAAACACAGAACTCTTCTAACATAGAATGGCTGTGGTCTTCAACTTCTGAGGGTTTTCTGCAGGTCCAGCAGAAACACATACCAATGTAAGACTCCCACAAACTCCTTGGCCTTGATGTAGTACTCCCACAAGCTTTAATATCAAGGGCATTGATATATTCACACAAGCTAGAACAGTCTTTCCCACCTTGGTGCCCTCCAGGAGATTAGGCTACAACTCCCATCAGGCTTTGCCATCTCTGATTAATTGAAAGATAAACAGCTCTGGAGGGGCATCCATTTATGGAATGCTGAACTAGAGGTACGGCAGTGACAATCTTCTTCTAAGAAGACACACAGATATCTGTGTCTGCACCTGGGAACCTCATGCTAAGACTAAATGCCCACCAAATGGGCACTGCCTAACCAATGCCCACTGTGTTAGATGTATGGAGGAATCATAGAATCATAGAGTTGGAAGAGACCTTGTGGGCCATCCAGACCAACCTCCTGTCAAAAAGCAGGACAATTGCTTTCAAAGCACCCCCAACAGAGGGCCTCCAACAGAGGAGTAGAACACTTGTCATCCAAAGAGCAAAGCTACTTTGTAAGATCTGAATGTTTATTGGACTTATGTGAGAGAGTGATTACAAAAAAAAAAAGCTTCACAATATGGTGATCACATGCTGGTTGGGTGTGCTTAGGGTTTTAGCTATAGCTCAACAACAACACACCAGGGGGCCCCAGCAAGGAGGTTGTTGAGCAACTACTAAAGGGGCATCCCTCACATGGTTGCTTCCTGGAGTGATGGGAAGTCATGCAATGTCAATGTTGGTTCTGGAATTGGCTGGAATTGGTTAATTCCTACTGTACTGTACTGGAAGCTTGTGACAGAGGGAAGTATTTTTTTCATGAAAACACTGGATTTTTTCATTTTTAAAGTTTTCTTTCAGTTGAACATTTTCAATTCTGAGGGCTTGGGGGGGTGCACTCCCCTGATTCCTACATTAGAGGAAGGAATAATATCCCCCCCCCCCTTTAAAAACAAAAACAAACGCTCTTTGCAGTATATAAGGAAAAAGGTACATTTCCACAATAGAAACACTGCCTAGATTGTACGGAACAGATGAAAAACAAATGTGTGTGTGTTTTTTTTTTAAAAAGAACATTGAGGCTCTGCCATCTGTTTATGTTGTTTACTCCTCTTCTTTGATACTATGTAAGCTCACAGGTCAGGGTGGGGAAAGCGAAAGGTAGCATGATGGTCATGAAGATCCAGCACAAGGACAGCATTTAATAGGTTATGGAACCTATGATGCATTGACTATCTTGTAGGAAGAGGTCCTTGCTCACTGCTCTAATACCATTGTATTATGTAACAATTCATTTGCAAAAGGTGAGAAATTCAATCCAAGGGATAGAGTACTGGGGCATAAGCCAAGAGAATATAGAGCAAGATCTGTGCGTGGACACAGGGGAAAAGAAGCATCATGCTCTGGCAACAGGAGAAGGCTGTATATTGCTTAGAGTGAGGGTTTAGTCCTGTCATGGAGCATTAAAGGTATCACAACCCCCCTGTCCAGCTGAGTTAGTAATGCCACTCTTCCAGCATTAGTTCCTCTCCTTCTGGTCTGTGAGTCATTCAAGACTCAATGAGTGCTTCCGATTCAGATCTGCACTGAATCCACTGGCTAAGGGGTTGCCCAGAACAACAGTTTAGTTCCCCTAATGAATGACGTTTATAGGCATAATTGTGTCCCAGCTGCCTTTTAAGAGATGCCAGATCCCTTCCTGAATGCCAGATGACGTAACATTCCTAGATCTGGTGCCTCAAACAATATCATTTTGCCACCCCTTCATGTTACTCCACTGGGAAAGATAACAAGGGCTAACCACTCTGAATAAATATTACCAAGAAAATCCCATGATGGGATCACCTTGGTGTTAATATAAGTGGGAAACAACTTGAAGGAAAAGAACAGCAACAACAACAACAACAATGAAACATTACCAACTGGAAAGGACTCCTATCCCTTTAATGGCTGTTTAGAAGACATGTTTTCAGCAAGTGTTGCTTCTTACATAGTCATGGGACAAGCATCACTTACTATAATTTCCTTTTTATGCAAACATAAACAGATCCCCCACCACCACCACCACCACCAGTTTTTCTGGCTGACCTACAATCCTCATTGTGTTGTTAACTTCAGATGAGAGTATCAATGGCAAAATATTCCATTTGTCATGCATATTTAAGACAGCAATCTTTTCATAAGCCAAACTTAATGGAAGCATTTCCCAGTGTTTATTTCATTTCCTTTTTCTCCAGAAGTAGCTATCCAAATCTCTAGACATATCACTGATCCCATTTCCCAGGTCTACAAGTTCACTGTCTGAACCATGGTCACACTACTTGTTTTATTTTTCTTGGCCACATACTTTTTTTTAGCTCTTTATAAGCTATTTCTAGCCTCAGTCTATTTTTGATGTATATGCATACATATGCACATTACTAAAACACACACATACACATAAAATCATGATTGCATCTTGTAACTGAACCATAAATACCACCACTATGCTAGAAATACACTCATCTGTTAAGTCTTTGCATGAATTTTCTTTAATAAAGCATTCAATGGTTCAAACCCCTGGATTCCTAAGTGCTGTTGAACTATAATTCATGCCAAATTGAGCCATAACAGGCAGTCTATTACATTCTAAGATTGGGACCTAATGCTTAAATATTCAATGGACTTTATGGTTTGAAGAAAGATTGAAGGAAGGCTTACAGATGGGGAAATGCCTGAAAATATGGTGAATGGGCAAATAAGCTTGGTCCCACCTCCACTGTTTATTATTATGTACCTCTAAGTTGTTTATGATTTTTGGCAGCCTTATCACAGGGGTTTTCTTGGAAAGTTTTATTCAGAGGAAATTTGCTCTTGCCTTCATATGATGCTAACAGTGTGATCCAGTGGCTTCTTGGACTAAGGAGGAATTCATATTCTAATCTCCCAGATTCCTGGTGCAATGTTCAAACTACTAAACATTTGTCTATTTGAGATGGGGGAATGAGGGTGTAGACACCCCTGAAGGCTTCAAAAAGTGTCTGAGAGGTAGCATGTAGCACAGAACCTGAACTTTGCCCAGTCCTGTCTTATGGCAAGTGATGAAGACCTTTAAAGATAGTCTTTGTGTCCTTTAGGATAATTCTTGCAAAGGGTCCTAAATAAAAACAGATGTCAAAATATTTCCAGTTTTGGGAGAAATGTGAAACATAAATTAAATCAGAGGGGTGAGAATCATGCTAAGTTGTATTAGTTAACAGCATGAACTGGCCAGAGACTCATGTGGTCAATTCCATCCATCCCCACTACAATAATAAATGGTTTAATGTACTTTCAGCTCACAGAAACTCCTAACATTCACACCTAGCTCCAGAAGACAAGAGTCCTTTGTCCCACCCTGGTCATTCCACAGATATATAAACCCTTTTTCCTAGCTCCAACAGACCTCACTACCTCTGAGGATGCTTGCCATAGATGCAGGCGAAACGTCAAGAGAAAATGCCTTTAGAACATGGCCATATAGCCTGAAAAACCTACAACAACCCAGTGATTCCGACCATGAAAGCCTTCGACAATACTCCTAACAAGCTTTCCAGCCAGCTGTTACCTCATTTTTCACTTAGCATCTTAGAAATGCCTAATTAGTCTAAACTAAAAAGGGAGATTCTTAATTAAATGTGTAGGTGTGCATTTGTGTTACACATGTTTCTACATGTGCTTGCAAACTCTCTCTTCTCAGACTGCACATGATGAGAGAAGAGGCAAGCACTGGCAGACAGGGATTTGGGAACCCAAAGAGCAGGTTAATGGCCAGATGCTTTGTTTAATTGTTGGACTGGGAGTCCAGGGACCCCATCACATGGAGGTCCTTAAGCCAGAGGACAGCAGGGGAATACATTGGGCAGAGGGACGAATCTCTTAGACACTGTTGGAAACCATTGGACAGCACCCCACATTGCCCTCTAAGCTCCTATGTGGTTTCCCGTCTGTGCCTGGCTTGACCCACGCTGTCCCAGGCTTACTCAATGAGCTGGGGGCTGCTGCTTAGTATGCTGCCAAGACACAATGTGCATGGAGCTCAGATGGAGCCTTAACGGAAGTAGCCCTGCATCATGTGGTGGGATCTGTCCTGGTAACATCTTGACAGTTTCCTAGGATGGGGCTTTTTGCCCATGTGATGAGGTTCCAAAAGGCCAGAGTTCCAAGAAACCCATTTGGTGATCTTAGGTAAGCCACTTTCTCTCCATCTAATGGGAAGGCAATGGCAAACCTTGTTTAAGGAGAAATTGGAAAGACAGACCTAAAATGATGCCACCATAAATGAGATACCTCTTTTGGTTCTCCCAAGGAGTGTGCTTTATGGACATCCATTGTTTCTCTGTCCATTTCTGTGAGCAGCAGTCACTTCAAATTCCTGGATATGTTGGCTGGTAAACTGTTAGTGATTTATGATTTAGCCCAGCATATGAATTGTAACCCACTTTTTGGGTTGTTGCAGCAATGGAATTCTGTTTGCATCATGAAATGCTCAAACCTACAAAATCCCAACTTGTTAGAGTGGCAACCCCCCCCCCCCCAAAGCAGCCATTTCTGTGTCAAAGGAGAGTGGGAATGTTGCAGAGATATTCCCAATTCTTTTTTTCACACACAGCAATATCTTCTTCAGAGACATCCTAGAAACCTTTTCAATGTCCCAGTGAAAATGTAGCATTTTTGGGGTGGGGGTGCTACAGGAGATTTCTCATATCTTTATATTGGAGATATATATCCCAAAAAGTCTCTCAGGCCCCTTCTACACTGCTATATAAAATCCAAATTATCTGCTTTGAACTGGATTATATGTCAGTGTAGACTCATATAATTAAATTCAA